CAAATAAATAATAACAATAACAATAATAACAACAACAACGATACAATTACTTGTGAGGTCTGAGGATTGTCATCTCTTTTCCCTTCTTCTCTTTTTCTAGATGCAGCCATAGCAACATGATGAGGTTGAACAGGATGTAACTACTTTGTACATGTACATGTAAAGTTAGCAGCAAATTTCATTCAATGTGAAAACATGTAAAACATATACCTCGTCAAATTTTAGGGAGCTTAGTAGATCACACCTACTTTCTATTTCATTATTTGAAAGTGATGCTAAAAATAGTAACAATAAAAAGAACTCATCAATTACTTACGAGTAGTATAATCTTCAATATCAATATCTTCAATCTCATCATCATCTTTAAAAATAGCATCAGGGTTTAATTTAACCACACCCCTAGCTCCACCCACTATCCCTGAAGTATAATCACGTTTGATATCAGGTAAAGAATTCTTAATAGATACCAAATGACCATACTAATAATGACTAATTAAATATTACTATTATTTTTATTTATTAATTACTTTATTTTGTGCTGTTTTAAAAAATGATGTAAGGTCACGTTGAGCTGGACCGAATTTATCGTATTTTTGAAGTTGAGGCCTCAACCAAAGAGGGAGATCATCCTGTCCCCTCGAATATGTAAACCTATTAATAATACATTATGAATATCTACACATGTCATGTACACCTCTTTCTCTCTTTCCAAATCTCTCCCTTCCTTCATCTCTCTGTCCCACTCTCTCCCTTTCTTTCTCTCCCTCTCTTATCCCTTTCTCTCCCCCCCCCTCTCTCTCCAGTCTCTTTATCTCTCTCTTACCTTTCATCACAGAGAATGATTGCTCCATAGTCATTCTTGTGTCTAATAACTCGTCCAATGGCCTGATTGACAGCACGTGTAGCCTGTTGATTGTACCACTGCTTATCAGTTATTAACTATAAGAAAGAGAGAGAGAGAGAGGGAAGGTTACTGCAGCTGCTGATAATACAATAGTTTACTTCAGTTCTATTAAAATTTGATCTAGCATCTTTCAAATATTCCATTTTTAGCTGAACCTTGGTAAATTAAAAAAATAAGAAAAATTTATAAATACATGTGCTCTGCTGTATGTACATGTACATGTTCTGTGTATTGCTAATACTATGTACTTTGGGTTCAGCAAAAGGAGGATAAGGTAGTCCAGTAATGATGACAGCTCGTCCATTATTATCAGCAAAATCCAACCCCTCACTCACTTTCCCTCTACACACTCCAAAGAAAGCTCCACCCACTTTATCGGCCGATCCAATCTTCTCATAATAAGCACTCATTACCTAAAAAAATATACATGTACATGTATCACATGACTGTCATGTGACTAGTATTAATTAGACTTACAGAATTAAATTCATTTTTAAACTTTGGTTCTTCGAATATTTGCTTATGTTGCTCCATTCTCATGAATATGTTGCTATGCTACATGTATGTGTACATGTATGACATCATCACCGACCAATCAAATTGCAGTGTTCTTACCTCCTTCCAGTGGGTGAAAAGGGTTTCCATGACAACATACGAGGGAAAAAATACCAATACTCCGTCCGGTATGATTCTAAAAAAATTAACTAAAAATATAAAAATTAATAATCAAAAATTTAGGAGTAATTTTTTTCTTCGACATGTAATCTACATATACCTAATGTGTTGCCTAGACTATCCATGTAAGCTGGTGTAAATCTAAAAAAAAATTTTAAATAAACAATAATTCTCTTTTCTCCTCTCTCTCTCTCTCTCTTGCCTAGTTTGGTAAGACGAGTTTAAGTGATTATTATCTGGTCCTTTGGAGACCAAACCCAACCACACTTGATCTTGCCCAATGACCTGAGAACCCTGTAGACTCACA